TTTTTTTGTGTGTGTGTTAAACTAGGCTACTTGTTTTGATTTTCACATTATGTTTGCAAAATTATAAAATTATATTTTCCCTTAACGTTTAAAACAACTGGATGTTTTTAGTGTTCATTTATAAATAATGGTTTCATAAACTGTGTTTCACATAAGTTCATCTTTTGAAACATCGCTCGTCTTATGTAATGATCGATTAAACCGCCTGCGCTCGTTGGCGTTATTGTCCTCCTGTGCGGCAGGTGGCGCTGTGAACCGGTCACGCTCTCCGCTCGTTTCGACGAGGGAGAGATCTGTTACTCTAAACACGTGTGCGTGACACGTGTTTAGAGTTACATTTGGATCAAAACGCGTTTATTGCGTGCTATTTGTAGCATACGGCTTTTTAGTCTCATTATACTTTTTAGTCTCCGTGAAGCAGCGCAATATGGATGATATAGAGACTGAGCTCAATATCGCAGCAGCGCGTTCGGACTCTCCGGAGGATAAAGACAGAAATCAGGAACAGATTAAACAGGCCGTTCTCCTCCACCAGTCTCAGCCAGACCCCAGAGGTGATGTCCTGATGATATCTCATCATGTTTATTGAGCGTTTACGCGGTCAAGGGCACTCACTCAAACGGGTGTTTTCGTTTTTCAGGTTTATTCACAGCGATCGACTTCCTCAAGTCCAACAGAAAGTGTCTGAAACTGATCAGAGAGGCGATGCTGCGGCATAACTGGCAGGAGGCTGCGAGGTATTTCAGCTCTTACATTCAGACACTGGAGGCTGGAACTCATCCCCAAGTGCGATCAGCTGCGTCTGAGGTACATCAGCCTGTGGAGCCCTGTCAAATCTGCTTATAAGTTTCTATTATATGCGTTATGAAATCAATTCACTTTTCTTGCATAGAAAGAAACATAACATATGGAGTGACCCTGTGCACTGCATTCATAGCCTGTCACATATATAATGTCATTGCTGGAATATCTTGTCTATTTTTTAAGGAATATTTAATATCTCTTTGGAAAGAAATGTCTGGTGACCAAATGCTAAAACAAGGAATAGTTCAACCAAAAATGAGAATTTGCTGAAAATGTGCTCACCTTCAGGCCATCCAAGATATAACCTTCCATTCAAAAGTTTGGGATCAGTAAGATTTGTTATGTTTTTTAAAGAAGTCTCTTCTGTTCATCAAGGCTGCATTTATTTATTCAGAAATACGAAAAATACAGTGAAAATTGTGAAATATTATTGCAACTTCAAATAATGGTTTTCTATTTTAATATACTTTAAAGTATAATTTATTCCTGTGATGCAGCGCTGAATTTTCAGCATCATTACTTCAGTCATCAGTGTCATATTATCTTCAGAAATCATTCTAATATTCTGATTTATTATCAATGTTGGAAACAGTTTTGCTGCTCAACATTTCTCAACAAATGAAAAAACAAACCCATTTTAAACAAATCATTAACAATCTGCTTGATTCTGTCCCATCAGATCACGTGGCGTTTAGGCACAGAAATTCTGCGTCATCTTCCTAATTCCAGCCTTGATGATTTCAATGCTTTTTATGAACAGTTGAAAAACTTTGGCGTCAGAAACTACTCAAAGGTAAGCATTGCATTATAAACATCCAGACCTCCTTCTAACATCATGCACGCTGCACTCAAGCGATGCATTTGATCAGTACGTTATGTAACTTGTCATGTTGTAGATCTGTTTGGAGCATTGCTTTCATCTTATGCTGAACGGCCAGATGGATGAAGCCAAGCGGCAGCTGTCCATCGCAGACAGCTGGAGATACGGCAAGCAGTCGAATGCTCAGTCCATGACGAAAAAGCTCATCCGCTCCTACTGCGGTTATCTAGATTACTTGATCTGGAATGAGAAGAAGACCTCAGCACTTGGGAGCGGTAAGAAGATCAATAATCTGACATTAAACTGGGGTTTCTCTCTTTGCATCTGTCTTAAATGATGTTCTCTGTCAATACTTTTGCTGTCAGAGGAGGAGTGCGCTAACCGTGAGATGCACAGCTACTTCAGACAAGCCTCTGTGACCCTGAAGGAGATCGTCAGTCAGCCTGGAGTCTGGGATCCTTTCGTGTTGAGTTACATTCATGTGAGACTCTATCTCACCTTGTGCGAAGTGACTTGTTTGGGGTTTGTTTCGACTAAAGTGACAGTTCTGTCGTCATTTACTCCCCCTCATGATTTGTTTGTGCAAAGAAAGCCTTAAGGGCAAATTGCACGATGAGAGTAATACAGAAGAGTCTTATAGTAGCCCTGTTTAAATACACATGAGATTTGTGAGCGAATAATAGCTCATATTTTAGTCTATTTGTTACACAAGGCTGTTGTGTGACTTTAAAAGACTTGCAATCTAGTGAACAAGTTATATGCATTATATGAATGTTCTGTTTCTTTAAAAGTGTTTAAATGTTTTTGAAAGAAGTCTCTTCTGCTCACCAAGGCTGTATTTCTTTGATCAAAAATACTGTGAAAATTTTGAAATATTTTTACAGTTTAAAACAGCTGTTTTCTGTTGTAATATATGTTAAAATGTAATTTATTTCTGTGATCAAAGCTGTATTTTCAGCATCATTACTCCAGTCTTCAGTGTCGCATGATCTTCAGAAATCATGATAATATGCTAATTTGCTGCTCAAGAAACATTTCTGATTATTATCAATGTTGGAAACAGTTGTGCTGCTTCATATTTTTATGGAAACTGTGATGCATTTTATGTTTCAGGAGGATTCACAGATGAATAGAAAGTTCAAAAGAACAGCATTTATTTGAAATTTAATTTCAAATTTTTTTTTAATAAAAAATAAATCAAATATTTTACTTACCCCCAAATTTTGAATGGTAATAAATCACAGTTTCCACAAAAAATATGAAGCAGCACAACTGTTTTCAACATTGATAATAATCAGAAATGTTTCTTCAAAAGACTGGAGT